GTGTGTGTGTGTGTGTGTGTGTGTGTGTGTGTGTGTGTGTGTGTGTGTGTGTGTGTGTGTGCGGGTGGGCGGGTGCATGTGTGACGCACAATCCACTCCGCGCCCCAATACTCAGACGCACGGCCGCGTGCGGTGGCGATGAAACGGATAACCTCCTGGCCATGATCCCGGGCCTGAGCATAGCCATAGGCGAAGCTCTGTGCGCCAGGAGGAAAAAGGGAAGATGAGATTGGTCAAGATCAGCATCAAGGCGGGGTGTGGGTTCGGGCGGCGAAAGGACGCGCCCACACGCACCAGGTCCTTGGTAGAATTAGCGAAGATATGAGGCACGCCCCAGGAATCCCAGATGATCTCCGCATCGATTTGGTCCAGAGGGCGTGTGCGGTTGGTCAGGCCGGCAGCCGGCCGGCAAAACACCCCGAGCAGAGCCAGCAGCAAGACCAGCAGCAGCGACAGGCCTGACGCCCGAGGGGCCGCACGGGGGGGGAGGGCCGGCGCCATGGTCTCGTCCGCTTGGCTCGAGTGCCGGGGAGGAGGAATCGCCAAAAGGATGGGAGAAAGGGCCTGTCCAAGCACGAGAGGGATTGGGACAAGAGGAGAAGGGAAGAAAGACAAAAGAGGAGGAGGAGGAGGAGGAGGAAGAAAACCTCGACAGGAGCCAGGAATCATCCAAGGGAAAGGGGCGCATGTTCACCCCGCAGATGCAGGCCCATCCGGGCCGGCGCCCCACCCCGGTTTCAGGCAGCCCGTTGTGTTCCGATCGAATCCCCCCCCCCGGTCTGGCCACTCGGCCGCCCTGGGGGGGGGGGGGGGGGACGGGAATCTTGCCGGTGGGGACATACACGAGCGAGATGGTACACGCACCTGGCCCTGCTCTGGCGGGCGAGCACGTGCGCCTGCGTGCGTTTATCTCCGGATCCGGAGGAGTGAGATCGCCCCCGGCCGTGGCCAATACCCCCACCGTCTGCCGCCCGAAAAATAATACCCTTGTCTGGGCCGGTCCGTGGGCAGCGGCCCGAGCCGCGCCCCCTTGGTTCCGAGACCCGATCACGCAATGCCTCTCTCTGCCCAGATAGGCGCCAGCCGCGATCCTTCGGCCGCCGTGGGGCCAATGTCGCATGTGGCCCGAGGGCAGATACACACAGGAGGGCGCATGTTCATTTGCTTGGCCCTGCTCCCCCGGGGACGTCTCGTCTATTCTTGCGACACATGCCGGAGGGCCTCTCCCGAGCCCGGATCTCAAAGCTCCTGGCGCGAGGCGGGGTGGGCCGACTCGGGCGACTCATCTGGCGCGTCCTCCGATTCGGCACCCGACGGAGAGGGAGAGGGCGCTTGCGGCGAGGGCAGCATTCCTCGGTCACGATGCCCGCCCAGATCCCCGGGAAACAGGGTATCAATGATATTCTGGAGGGCGTCCAGCTCCTCGTCGGTGAGGTCTTCAGCCAGCAGAGTGCGGATGGCATGGCGATCGAGGGCCGCCCCTCCCAGGGGATTGGGCCTGTGTG